TGTTGACTTGATTACTTTTATGTTGCTAGGTAATCACTGTATCAACTGAATATGGCATCGTCATCACTACCTTTGCTTACACAGTAATTCCCGTTCAGCCTTTAACGTTAGCATAATTTCACATTTCTTTTGGTTCATCTATGGCCAATTGTGGACCAGACTTTCTAACTATAAATTCAGTACGTCACAGTGGGTTAATATTACAACTGTTTTACTTACCTTTTGCACTCAGTATTTGGGCAGGAAAACTCTTCCAATCGCCTTTCGGTGGCTTCGATCCAATGGCACCAAGTTCCACCAGACCAATCCTCTAACATTTTTTGGTCTTTTACATAGGTTTCCAGTCCTACACTGACTTTATTTTCCTCAATCCATTTTATTGGTATGTACATGTTTAAAGCGGGGTTTAACTAGTGTCTATCAGTCTCAGCCTCAGCAACAAAAAAGTAAAAGAGCATTAATCGGAACCAATCACAACCCATCAGTGTCAATCGGATCATCCAATCAAAAGTCAAACAGAAGCGTGGGCGTAGGCTTTCACAATCCCTCAGCAACAGGACGGTAAAACTGCAACCAATCAGACCCAGAGTTAATCTTTCATCCAATCAGAAGTCGATTTCTTTTAAACTGAAGAGCTGTCGATATATTTCAGCACTGTTGCACAACACGTCAGACAGTGGTAGGTTGCTGTCTTTTCAGCTATGGAGCCCTCAAGAAAAAAAGAGAATGAAAGGCCTTTACAGAAGATATTTGCGCAACGACCACAAACCTTTACCCCGCACAATGAGACATTGTTTGAACAAAAATTGTAACTGTCTGCTTGTATTAAAGGTTTTTGTCTAATTACCGTGTAGTTCAGTGAAACCATATGTGGCCAGCATAAAATAAGCGACAAATAAGTCAATATAACAAAGTCATCCCAATAAAGCAAAATGAACGTAAGATTCATATAAAGCTCTCGCTTAAACTGGTCAATAATGATTTGGTCATTCTTAGAAAGGCTAAAACTGCACCAACGTTACAAATATATAAATCAAATCAAATCATTTTTATTGTCACATCATCAGCAGCATGTGTGCTATGATGAGTGAAAAGCTTAGGTGCTCTAGACAGTGCAAATACAATGACAGTGCAAAATCCAACAGCATACTCTCAAAAAAACAGGACAATATAAAATTGGCAGTGTTGACAGCGATATGAACAATGAATAGGTGTACACATAGTTGTAGGCAGTATTGTTTAATGTATAGATTGGTTAATATGCAGTGCATGCTACATATTGATGGTGTGCAGTGAGGGGTATGGAAGAGTCTGTGTGTGGTGTGTTAAGTGTTCATCAGCCTCATAGTCTGAGGGACGAAACTTTCCTTCAGCCAGCTGGTGCGTGACCGGATGCTGCGGAATCATCTGCCTGAGGGTAGCAGAGAGAAAAGTCTTTGGCTTGGGTGGCTGGAGTCGCTGATGATTCTCTTGGCTTTCCTCATGCACTGCCTGGTGTAGATGTCCTGGAGGGAGGGATATTCACCTACTTAGCATCCTATGCAGGCCTTTGCAATTGCTGCTGGTGCTGTTTCCATACCAGGTGATAATACAGGCAGACAGGAAGCAACTCTCAGTGCAGGTGTAGAATGAGCGGAGGATGTGAGGGCTTATTCTAAACCTCCTGAGACACCTGAGGAAGAAGAGGCATTGTGCCTTCCTAAGCACTGCGTCTGTGTGAGCAGTCCATGTCAGATCCTCAGCGATGTGTTCTCCAAGAAACTTGAAAGTGCTGACTCTCTCCACTGGTGTCCTGTTGATGGTGATGGGGGTGTGTTCTCTCTTCTCTTTCCTGAAAACCACCACCAGCTCCTTGGTTTTGCTGATGTTAAGCGAGAGGTGGTTTTCCTCATGCCACTGCGTCAGAGTGTGCACCTCCTCTCTGTAGGCCGTCTCATCATTATCAGTGATTAGGCTCACCACCGTTGTGTCATCAGAAAATTTAACGATGACGTTGGAGCTGTGTTTGGCTGTACAGTCATGTGTGTACAGGGAGTACAGGAGTGGGCTGAGAACACAGCCCTGTGGATCACCAGTGTTGAGGATCAGTGTGGATGAGGTTATGTTGTTCATTCTGACCACCTGGCGTCTGCTTGACAGGAAGTCAAACCGAGAGAGCGAGAGGTTGAAGATGTCTGTGAAAACTCCCGCTAGCTTGATTCTGAAAAGATTCTCTGACTGACAGACAGCTTTTGATCAGTGACGTAGCCTACGTGACTAATAGCTTTTATTAGTTAGCCTATTGATTCCTCTTTTTAAAATTATGTTTTTTGTTTTGATATTATTGTCAAATCAATGAGCAAACTCAGAGCAAACTCTCTTCCCGGGGGATGCTGAGCTCGCACAGCTTCCTGAACGTTCTATATCTGTTATAACCGCACTTTGTAAATAAACTGGTCTGGCAGATATTGCGTTTTTTTGAAAAAAAATTAATTTTTTACTCAGCGTAAAATGTACATTCTTAAATGTTATTGATGGCAGCAATTCACACATAGATTAAGGTACATCTGAACAGCAATTTCCAATAATAAAATGCAAATGTCAAAAAAATGGCGTTTATTGCGTTTTGCAACTGAACTCTATTTTATATATATATATATATATATATATATATATATATATATATATATATATTACTGCTGTCAATTGATTAAAACAATTTACTAATTAATCACATTTTTTTAATTAATCGCGATTAAATTAATGTAAACGCAAGACAAAAACTATTTAAATTCAAAATATAATTGTTTATTAGAATTTTTGTTTAACTTGTAACACAGATTTCTTCATGTAAACAACATCAATATCCTGGTTTGACAGCCATATTTATTACAGAAATTAAAACACAGGCATCTTAATGCCATTTGAATTCAAAACAATCAATGCCAAATAAGAAAAAATTATTTGGATTCTAAGTGGACTGCAAAAAAATGCCAATACACAGGCATTGCATAATAATAATAATTATAATAAAATATTGAACACAAACAATTGCACTCATTGTAAAGTTGTATTGCTGTGAGTTGAGAACATTAATTATAGAGCAGAAACATTTTTTCTCAGTCCTCCTTTACATTCATCCAGTTGCTAAGACAGTCCAGTCCAGACATCCCAAGTCTCCCGGAAGTTGGGGGAGTATCCCAAAATGCACTGAGAGTCCCGGATGCCCGCAAATGAATGATAATCTCCCGGAAATCGCACGTCTCCCATGCGGTCCTTAAATATGTTGCACACCCCTCTCCATCCCACCTAGCTCTTCAGGTACGTGGCGCACAACTCACCCCCACCGCTCTTCAGGTATGTCTCGCACGCACACGCCCCTACTCAGATACGTCGCTTACTCAACCCCTGAAACGAAACAGACACAGAAAGACAGACACACACAACGCACGGGAGCCACTCTGTATATCCTGGCTCTGTATATCCTGGTGATGCAACATTAATTGTTTTTTACTGAACGCCTTCAAAAAGTGCTTCCTTTGTCTTATTTATATTTCTTTGCATGTTGAACACATCCACCACAACAGGAAGTAAAAAAAAAAAAAAACTGCGACTGCGTTAATTGCATAAATTTTTTTGACGTGTTAAATATTTTCAATAAATCGCATGCGTTAACCCACTAATTTTGACAGCACTAATATATATATATATACACACATATATATATATATATATATATATATATATATATATATACACATATATATATATACATATATATATATATATACACACACACACACAAACACGCGCACACACTAGAGCTGCACAATTAATCGTAAAAAGATTGCAATCTCGATTCGACCTTCTAGACGATCTTAATCCAGCATTTCTACGATTCTGTCAATCATATTTTCAAGTTCAGGAGAGAAGAAAAAGTGGCCGAACAAGTCTTCACATAGTTTTACATTTGTTGTTTAGCAAAGTGGACACCTCCGAATGGTGTTGAAAGAGTCACATGCTGTATTTATAAGATATAATTCACCCCAAAAATGTCATGTTTGTCTTCATGTAATAATGTATTTGTAACCGCAAAATCACACGTGACGTGAGCTGACCGTCAGCTGTTACCACAGAGTGGGCGGGTGTGCACACTGAATGAAGTCTACTTTAGTGAACAGAACCTGCATAAGCTGTGAATAACAGGTAATAATGTTTTAAATAACATTCAGTTTGTAGCAAAGAGTGATCGATTGGGGGCTGCGCGGGAAGTGAACCACTCTTAGCAGTAAATATTAAACCGAAAGAGCACACAGTAAAAAAATAGCAATTCTCATTTTAGCAAGATTTGTGCAGCTCATCTTTTCTATATATATATATCATAAATTATGTAAAACATAGCAAGAAAATTTTCACAGTATGTCTGATAATATTTTTTCTTCTGGAGAAAGTCTTATTTGATTTGATTTCAATTTTCTTATAAACCATTTTAAAGACAAAACTATTAGCCCCTTTAAGCAATATATTTTTTGATAGTCTAAAGAACAAACCATCTTTATACAATAACTTGTCTAATTTACTGTCATCATGGCTAACATAAAATAAATCAGTTATTAGAGATTAGTTATTAAAACTATAATGTTTAGAAATGTGCCGGAAAAATCTTATCTCCATTAAACAGAAAAAATAAACTTGTTTTTTTTTAACTTGTTCAAACTACTTAATTAAAATGTGCTGAAATAACACAATTCTTGAGATTTCATTGGGACAACTTAATGTTCAATCCACATAAATTTGTTAAAAGTGTTAAGTTAACCTAATTTGTGTTGTGACACCATGAAAGAATTGTGTGGAACCCTGCAGTTTTTACAGTGTGTGCAATGTGCACAAATATGGTTATCAGTTCATAATAAGTTGAAGCACATTGTTAAATTTTGCTGTATTTGGCTTAACTGTTCCTGGGTGGCTCGCCAATGTATAGTTGACTCTAATGCATAAAATAAGTAAGCTGACCAAAGTTCTTACGTGGAGAAAACTTTATTGAAGACAATGAATAGTGCAGTTCCTCAGCAGTGATGTTAACTCGTCAGTCTTCAAGTAACTTAACCCAAAGTACCACCCCAACCTGTAAGCAGGGCGAGAGGGGAGTGTGAGCTCAGGTAGATCTTGATGAACTCCCCAAACTTGTTTCTATTCTAATGACAGATATAGGGTTGGCTTAAGGGAGATATAAGGCTTACTAAGAGCTCGACTATGGTGCCAATGTAATGTTCTGTTTACTTAAGTTGTGTGTTTTTGGACTGTGGGAGGAAACTAGGGAACCCAGGGGAAACCCACACGAGCACGGGGAGAATGAGCAAACTGCACAAAAATGTCATCTGGTTCAGTAGCGACTTTAACCTGTGACATTCTTACTGTGAGGCAATTGTGCTAACCACTGGGCTGCGGTGTTGCCTAATCTAAAAAGAAGGGGGAGTAAAGGTGGGAGGGGGATTCTTCAAGATGAATATAACTAAGGTAAGAAACTCTATTTATAGTGAGTTAGGAATCATCTGATTGGTGAATCATGTTTTATCTAATGTGCGACCAGCCATGGACAATCATAAGCATGTGATCCTCTCAAAGGTAGTTTATAAATAAACTTCACTTAAATGAACAGCCAAACTCAGTGAAAAAGCTGTCGTTTTGAATATACCCGTGTTTGTGTGGACAAGACCTTAATGTTGAGGACTCTGCTCTCCATTGTGAAGCTTTAGGTGAGCGCTGAGGCTTCTTTTACTTTTAAAGCCCTTTCCACACTCACTGCATCTAAAATGATCCTCTCCTGAGTGAGTCTTCATGTGTTTCTTAATGGTGTCTTTGCGATTGAGACTCTTTCCACACTGATCACATGTGAACACTATGGTTCCAGTGTGACCATTCATGTGGTTCTTGAGGCTAGCTTTGGTTGAGAAGCTCTTTCCACACTCATCACATGTAAACGGCTTCTCTCCAGTGTGAGTTCTCATGTGGTGTTTGAGTGAGCTTTTATGTGGGAAACTTTTACCACACTCTGTGCATGTGTAAGGTTTCTCTCCAGTGTGAATCCTCATGTGGATGTAAAGGTCTTGTTTTTTACCTAAACTCTTTCCACACTGTTCGCAGGTGTAAGGTTTCTCCCTAGTGTGAACTCTTATGTGAGCAATCAGGGTCAGCTTTTTACTGAAACTCTTTCTACACTGTTTACAGCTGAAAGGCTTCTCTCCAGTGTGAGTTCTCATGTGGGTTTTTAAGCATTGTTTTTGACTAAAACTCTTTCCACACTGTTCGCAGGTGTAAGGTTTCTCCCCTGTGTGAACTCTCATGTGAATTTCAAGGTTTGACTTTTGACTGAAACTCTTTCCACACTGTTTACAGCTGAAAGGCTTCTCACCAGTGTGAATTCTCATGTGTGCTGCAAGGTTTCCAGCATAATAAAAGCTTTTTCCACACTGTTGGCATGGGAACTTCCTCTCTCCAGTGTGATATCTTATGTGGGCTTTAAAGCCTTGTATTTGACCAAAACTCTTTCCACACGGTTTGCAGGTGAAAGGTTGCTCCCTAGTGTGAACTCTCATGTGAACATCAAGCTTTGACTTCTGACTGAAACTCTTTCTACACTGTTTACAGCTAAAATTACACCCAGATTTGGATTTCCGAGGTCTTCCGTGTGATGAAGTCTTTTTAGTCAGTGTGGGTTTTTCATCAGTCATTATTTCTTTTGGTTTCTCAAACTGCTGTTTCTCATCTATTTCATTCTGTCCACGAGTCTCTTCTTTCAGCACCATCAGATCTAAAAAAAAAAAAAAGTTAACTTTAGTATGAAGGCTCAAAGCGATAAGCAAGAAATGGATGTTTCACCCACAAATGAAAATGACTTTACCATTTACTCTCCGTCATGTAGTTTTAAACATTTCATATACCTTGTAGAATATTTAATTTGGGGGTCAGAGGAAAACCAAGCTCTTTTTGTGCTGTGGCTTTAAATGGAAATAAACAAATGCACTCGCTCTAGATTACTCGTGTTGTTTCCTCGATTGAGACAAATCCTGCATGTCCATAGCAAGTATGCATAATTCACGCTTATATTTGCAAGTTTGCATTATTGTATAAAACTTATGCAAATGCTTAATGCCACGTTTGCTTTAAACAGGAGTGATGAGGAGATGGCAAGATGACATACTTTGTTACTTGTTTTTATTTATTTGTACTTTTGCCTTTGTTTTCTTGCCTTTGTGCATGTCCTGAGGCTTAGCTGAAGACCTACTTGGTGACATTGTATATACCTGACAAGATGCAGAAATGCTATCTAAAAGGGTTACTTGTGGTTCGTCCAATCAGGGACAGTGACAGCGTAAATATACAAAATAATAATGATAACCCAGGGTTTACGAATGTGAACTGTCTGTTATTGAACACCCAGAATTATTTTTTAACCCCAAGTATAGCATGAGCAGTGTGGAAGGTGACTACAGATAACCCAGAATTTATCCAGGTATAGATTGACCCAGGGTTAACAATTTGAAGTTTGAAAAGCCCTAAGAATACTCAGCATCAGCTCTCAGGATAAACAGAGTATAATGACAAACAGCGACAATTGTCAATCATGTCATGATGACCTGGGGCCTGTTTCAGTAAGGAGGTTCAACCAACTCAGAGTTTAAACTTGAACTCTGAGTTGATTTACAGAGAGATTAAATTCTCAGAGTTTTCGGTTTCAGAAAAACATTTGAGCTACAAAAGTCTTTCAGTCAAGAGCAGTGAGGGATTTTCTCCTTTTGTTGTTTGATTAATGCTAAAAACAGTCGGCAGCAGGAATATTGCGCACTGTCACTTTAAAAATAGTGCGGCTCTGATATGGTTTCTCTTTCACATGTCTTTTGATTCTCAACTTGTTTGTTTATTATACAAATAAGTGTTAATATGAATATTCACTAAACACAGCACTCTGACACAAATTTGTATGTATTTGACCATTAAAGCGCTCAGATTAAGATGGCGTTAGATGTGTGTTCTATATGATGGAATAATCGTTTATCTCGATTAATGGTTTTTCATAATCATTAGAAGCCAAAATCGAAATTGAAACCAAATTTTTCGATTAATTGCGCAGCCCTATCAAGTGGTAGAGGTTGATATAACATTTAAAATGTAAGCAGGACTAAAAAAATATTTTTAGAACGAGTAATAATCCAATTAATCTAGTTACAGTACATGTCTGTCGAAGGTTAGTGAATTTAAGCTAATTATTCATTAAGAAAGGACAAGCCATTCTGCTACGTGACTTTGTTCTTTGTGTGACTGAAATGTAGGCAATAGCTATGTTTCCATCCAAAAATGCTAATTAAATTTATGCGCAAAACTGGGATGTCACATAAAAGATGTGCGAACAAAGCAGCGTTTCCATCCAATGAATCAAAGAGAACAAAATCGTCTCTTCCTGATTAACAGGCCCCAAATATGAACAGTAAAAACAGAATTTACTGCGGTAGAAGAAGCTACATGAATCTTTTCTTTATTTAATAAATTACTTTCACCTCGGAGGACAATGCTGGCACAAAACGAACACGTTTTGGCGTTTGAAGCAATGAGACGCAGAGAACAGACACTCTTGACACGCTCTAGATGCTCTGGAGGTCATTATTAATCTAATAACATTAATACTGAAACAGTTCAGGTGTTTTAGAATGACCAAAACAACATTTCAGATGTTTATAATGTTCTCAGCCTGCTGGTTTGTGCATTCACACACATTTTCATCATCATATGATCTCTTGTAACAAACCCTTTTAAACAAACCAATTTTTTTATGCTCATAGCCTATCCAAAAAGCACATAAAAATAAGTGGCTGAGTGAGAAATACCGCTTCATCTTTTAAAAAGGGGAGGAGACCGACAGAAAACTCTCAGAGACAGGCTCTCTTGCTCTGCAAACAAGTGTGTTCATGACTATACATACAAAGAAAAACAATAAAATGAGAAATATGACTTTGCTACAACAAGCAGCATTAGGCATGGGCCAGTATAAGATTTTGACAGTATGATAACCCTGAATAAAAAATATCACAAATTCATGGTACTGTGATTACTCCTTTAAATGTCTGGGTAAACAGAAACTTTTTCCTCTTAGAACACAAAATATTTTCTTTTGAGAAACTTTTAAAGTATTTTGGAGCAGTAAACATGTCAGGCTGAATCACTCAATTGAATCCTTGACTTCTGCTGTCTTCATTTGTTTCATAAACACAGATTTCTTTACAATTAAAAATGGCATCTTTGGATATCTTTTCTGCTGGAGATACTGTTGTCCTGAAAAACTTCAAACAAAATGTAAAAAAAAAAACTTACATATACAGATGAACGGTACAGCAGAAAATATTGGCGGTTTTAAAACCTCGACTTTTTTCAAACTGCGTTATACCTTAAAAACTTTTTTAGGATCTAAAAATGTATAATTTAATAAAAGTCTCAAGAAAAAAGATTCCAATGGTGGCACCTGCTGGTACGTGAAGAATATGGTCAATACTGATGAACTTTACACTCAAATGTTTGCATATCATCAGCATGCTGTAATTCATTTCTTAAGCAGCAAAAGTCGTTTTTAGACTAGTTTGTTGGCCAGTTGTAGTCAGCGCAATGTTAAACGTTATTGTTCCTCTATAGTTTGTTTTGTTTCATGTCACCCTGCAGCAACATCATATAGTTTAGAATTCTGTACAATGTTTTATAATAATTAATTACTTTAGTGTTCATTTTATTGTTGGCATCCACGTTTTTTTTATACTTTAAACCAGAGTTTCTGCAGGTTTTACCAAGTTAAATGTAAGACTTTTAAAGACATTTTTAATACCATTATGACAATTTTAGACTCATAAACGGCTAAAGGCTAAGGAATTTTTCAAATACCCCAGATGAAAAAGATTTTAATTTGCCCTATTTAAAAAAAAATATGATAATTTAATACATTTAATAATACAATAATAAATTAATACATAATATATATTATAGATACTCTTAGCAAAAGATTTTAAATTGTGTGTAATACCATGCAGGCTTTACTTGTATCCACACACTTTTTTCCTAAATAAACTATCTTTAAAAAATAATTAAAAATGAACAAATGTTTTAAAAACTATAACAAACTAAATCTACACAACAATCTGTCCTTGATGTCTTCAGCAGTGAATACATGGAGCACATTTAAACAAATGTTATTGTAAGGAAAATACTTAAACCATTATAATAAATAGAGTTAAAATGACCTTTTTGAATAAAAAGTGGAAAGTTTTATTGAGATGGATTGTTGGTGATTGTATGGGTTTTGGCCAGATTGAGCAGCAAAACATAAACTAAGGAAAATGAAGACTTGTTTAAAAAGATTTAAGAACTACAACACAACATTTCAGTAAATTTATGACTTTTTAAGGCCGAAAATTTTGATTTTGGAGTTTACGACATTTTAAGACCCCGCAGAAACCCTGTTTAAACACAATAGCCCTGATAATTAGTTATTATAATAATGATGAAATTCTAACTCAGTTACTATCTGTGAGAACTAGTAACAACTGCTAGAAAAAAGTTTAAACCCATAAAGAAGTCGATGAAAAAAGTTAATTTGGATCAACGTGACATATGCAAATGGAAAGCCAACACTTTCACCATAATAGCAGATATCTTCTATGAGAATACTGTAGGTCAAATATCTTCAGCCCAGTTAAAGTTTTTTTTTTTAATTAGTTGTTTTTATTTATTTTATATAGCGCTGGTGCTCAAGGACGCTTTACAAACAGTAGGAGAACAAGAAAAGCAATAACCTTAAAGGGCCATGAAACCCCCTCGTTTCAGCAGGGTGTTTTCACACCTCTACTTTGGAAAAAGTCAGAAAAGTGGGCGTGTCCAGCTCTGTTTAGGGGGAGTGTCGGAGGAACTAAAGTGGGAGGGTGTGGGAGTGTCTATATGGGCACGCGCGAGTTTCAGTCAAAATACTCACACACAGTAGAAAGTGATGGTGTTTAACCTACATGGACATCTGTAGTGGAATTATTTGCCAAATTATTAAATGGTGGACTTTAACTGCAGTTTGGCTCTTTCATTCAGGGAATTCATTCATGCCCCTCGCGACACACGAGATATTTGATTCGAGGATCTGCTCTACGCGTGTATTTTTCATGCAATGTTTGATACCGCACGGCGAATGAGAGAAAAAAAAACCTCCGCATTTTCCGGAAACTTAGATGCACTCGGCCGGTAGCGTCAGAAAGCCGCGTGTGTTATTATGGTCACTAAATGCGGTTAAAAACCCTACACGAGGTTAAAGTTTGGTTGTGGTCCTAACATGTTACGGTGCAATAGTTAACCTAGTTCGATACGAACAAATTGAATAAACAAAGAGCACTGGTCGCTCACTTACCAAATCTGTAGAGACAGGACAATCCACAGCAACTAGAGCAGCGTCTTAATGAAGAGAATACTACAAGCGGATCCGGATATCAGCGTTTGCAGATGAGAACAGCTCTCAGGTAAACAATAATCCTCCTTAGACACGCAAGTTATTGTTGTCGAGCGTCGCGTACACTGTTAATCCACACGTGAGTCTGAGCTCTCACAGAGAGAAAAAGAAAACGAAACTTAACGGCAGCAAACTATAAAACAACACTTCACGCTTGTTTTGCCAACACAACGTGGCGTCCATGTCGTGTAAACACAGAAATGAATATTAATGAAATTGCACAATAGAGCGCGCTGATTGGTTTGAACCAAGCCTTACTCATGCATTAATGCAGCACACTGTAA